TTATAATGCTTAAAAGTGCAAATCATATTTGACATGTATCAAAAATCTGTTTAATAAATTTTTCTAGCTTTATTTGAATATATTTGTTTGCCTTACATTTTCTCTAGTTGTCATTGATCATTTTACTATTATTAATTTTACATTCTTCAGTACGTAAATAAATTTTTTAATTTACTTGGAGTACACCTACTTGTGAACATGTTTTAAATGCCTCTTGAGTTCAGTTACTGTATGGTACTTAATTGTTGAGTCACATATTTTGCATGTTGCCTCTCTATCGCTTTTTGCGATAAAATAATCCCAAGACCAATCGAATTTATCTACTTTCTTCTCTTCTTCTGATAATATGTCTGGATGTCTCTTCATCAAATGTTCATGTAAAATAGCTAATCTATTATTAGGTATATTGAATTTTTCATTACAATTGTTGCATTTTGCAGCATTACTCTTTGATAATTTTGTGTAATGTTTACGTATATAAAGTCGAGTTGGAATAAAATCTGTCTTTTTAATTACGTCCTCATTTGCAATCATGTTATTGTCTGAATTGCTCTCGTTGTCCTCTACACGATCTGAATTTGGATTGAATATCCTATATTTACATAAGAAGTTATTAAAAAAGCAATAAAAAGTACGTTGAAGCAAGCATATTATTTTCAATTATGCTCATCCTCCGTTATGCGGACTAAATTATAATTTCTTTAAAATCTATTATTCGAACATTTAGTAGTGATAAAAAAATGTAGTTATCAAGCAGATTTAAATATTCTGTAATTCTGATAACTATCCGGTAAAAATTTTAATTTTTGACATTATTTTTCACTAATTTCTTATACTAAACACAGTAATAGTAAATTTGAAACATGGAATTTAGTTTGTTATTTGATAAGGCTGTTTAACATAAATGATTACCGATTAGTTTTATAAGGAATTGCGCTATCAAAGAAACAGGAATTAAAAAAAAAAAAATTGAAATTTCAACTTTCAGAAATCTTGTGTTGTGAAATACACAGTTCCTAATAGATTAAAATTCTTGTTCTGTGTTCCATATTCCTTGCGATTGCTCGCAGTATTATTACACATATATTAAATATTTGATTAAAATTTCTAATTTGTGTGTATGTTACTTCAATTAATTTTGAATTTTTGTTGTTGTTTATAATGCTTAAAAGTGCAAATCATATTTGACGATATGCATCAAAAATCTGTTTAATAAATTTTTCCAGCTTTATTTGATAAATAAGTAAAAGTAAAAAGGGCTACGAGCCTAAAACATAAATTGACAAACTGTATGAGTAGTTAAAAAAGGTTTTTTGAAATAAAACTATGTCATAAATTAAAAATGTAAAATAAAATTTGACAATCAGAAGTTGAACAAACGTTTCGATCCTGGTTGGATCATTTTCAATGTGACAAATAAATTAGTGTGACAAAATAAATTAACAACGGTAATTAACAATAGAGTTATAACGTAAATAAAAAACATATAAAAGATCAAGTAAAATTCGCATTCGGACGCAAATTAACTATAAAACTCGCTCCAAATTGAGAGGAAATCAAATAAACGATTATAGTTGACAAAAATGTGCTCCTCCGAACCGTATGTGTGTATAAGTACGAACATGTTTCTGTTAGCAAGTATAAATTGTAATAATAAATTAACGGTAGAAGTAAATAAAAATAAAAATAAAAATAATAAGAACAATAAGAAAAGTACGAATCGTGTCGCAAACGGTAAAAAGGAAAGTACAAATAAGTCGTAAATAATAAGTCAAATTTAAAGAAAGAAGCAAAAATTATCTTTGATATTATAAGGCAAGCACATAAGAAAAAAGAGTGAAATCGCCAACATGCATTGCATATGTATGATAGAACAAATAAATTCACAATAAATACTTTATGTGTGTGTCGAAATGATGTATTATAGATTAGGCAATGCGAATGGAATCGAAATTGATCGTCTCTCTAAGAAGCTAAGATATAAAGTACGACATATAAAGACAAGAAGGTTGAAATGGAAAACTAGAAAGGGAAGGGGGAAAAAAATAATAAGAAGGAAAGAATAAAGTGGAAGGGAGAGAAAGTAGGGAGAGAAGAGAAGGATGAGGAAGGGAAAGCAATCAAGAGGGAGAAAGAGACTGGATGATCTGTGAATAAGTATCGGGTAAAGATTCGGTATCGTTCTGTCTATTAAGGGCTTGTTTCTGTCTTTTAATATGAATCATTTCAGATACCAATCTCTTATTGTAAGAAGATTCGCAGTCCAAAATGATTTATTTGATAATATTTATTTGCCTTACATTTTCTCTTGTTGTCATTAATCATTTTACTAGTATTAATTTTATATTCTTTATTACGGTAATTAATTTTTAATTCAATTGGAATATACCTACTTGTGATAACATGCTAAATGCCTCTTGAGTTCAGTTACTGTATGGTACTTAATTGTTACGTCACATTTTTTGCATGTTGCCTCTTTATCGCTTTTTACGATAAAATAATCCCAAGACCAATCGAATTTATCTTCTTTTTTCTCTTCTTCTGATAATATGTCTGGATGTCTCTTCACCAAATGTTCATGTAAATTAACTAATCTAGTCTTATATATAGTCGCTTTTACATTACAATGATTACATTTTGCCTCATTACTACTTGTTAATTTTGTATAATGGCCACGTATCCAACGACGAACTGGGATTAGAATGTCGTCTACTTCTTGTTCTGCCATTATAACGTTTTATAAGGATTATTGGTAACTAATCACAAAAGGTACAGAAACGATGTAAAGAATCGTTTGCAAAAGCTGTTGCTAAACTGTTTACAGACAGAGATATTATTCTTTGATGGAATACATTGATGTTTGTATTTTTGAATCTGTTTGATAACGAGATTTAATAGATCTATTTATATAGCTCTTATATATTACAATATCTAGCTCTTATATTACATTTTAAATATTATATTAAGTGACAACATTTCCATTCTGAAATCTGTGTGAAATCAATCGAATTTTTATATTTCGTTATTATTCTAGACAACGCTAATTAATCCACAAAGCACAACGAAACATAAAATATTCATTTTTTGAAATTGGAGACTTTGTTCTTTAGATTTTATTCCAAAAGAGTAAAATCTTGCTTAAAAAGAATGAAATCTCACTCTTCTTAAAGATTGAAAACGTTCCCATTTTTTTTCAAGACTGGCTCACTTTTTAATCTTCTTGTAAAATTTAACTCCAAAAAATTTAAACAGTATATTTAGCAATTTAATTTTTATTAAATATTGAATACTTATTTTGAAATAATTTACCGACATTTTACAGACGTTTTAGCGTTTATTATTACGGTGTCTTCGTTGTGCTTAGCGCTGTGCATAAGCAAGTTCGTGCTACTACTGCTTTCATTCGTTCAATGAAACTCGAGTTGACAGGCGTAGCGCAAACTGTTCCGTGTATCGTCGTGCATTACCTCTCGAAACGTGGTCTCGACAAGTGCTAAAAGATATACATCGTAATAATACTTCACGCTTATTAGAGTAAGTGATTGCTAACTCGCGTAATTAAAGTTCCATAAACGAATTAAGATAACGATTGCTTTTTGCAAAAAGATATTTTATTTAGTAGAAATTAGAAAAACAAAAAATAGCAATTATTAATTATTTTTTTTACTTTATTTATGGATAATAACTATATGTTTTTAATACAATATATCGAAATTTCCCTGTATAGTTACTTTAATAAGTTATTTTTAAATTAAAATATAAAACGGATCGCTTGACGGTTTGATATGTAAACGTTGTTGCGTAGATATTCATATCGTTATCAAATTTGCAAGGCTATCACTAGCTTTATCTGATATAGTTTTGATATCAACAACTTTAAATTAAAATTACTCAGAAACTAAAATCGCAATCAAAAATCTGAGAACAATTTTATTATATAATGTTATACATCGATATCTTTCGATTGCGACCGCTCCAAATAATAAAATTGGTGAAGCGGATACCGAGATCTAGAGATCGTTTCCCAAAAGGGACCATACAGCTTTTCAAATTTTTTTAGACGTACGTGTGACACGAATGCATATACACTTTAAAGTGTTTTGTTCATTAAACTGCTGTTTACAATGCTTTCATAGAATTTTGATTTTAATATAAAATTAAAGTAAAATTAGCAATGAAAGTGATTCTTAATGCGAATACGGGTGTAATTTATGTATACCAGAAACAAACAGGGAGAGGACGAGAGCGAACGAACGAGAGAGAGAGAGAGAGAAAGATAGAGAGAGAGAGAGAGAGAGAGAGAGAGAGAGAGAGAGAGAGAGTGAGAAAGACGATAAATAACGATGACGATACAACTACGTTGTCGTTAGACGTCAATGATGGCAACGACGACGATATAGGACGACGACGATGACGCCGGGCGATGCCGATAAGACATGCGATTTAAATTAGATTTAAAAGTAGATTTAAAATTAATTATAATCTTAATTGTAATTGTGATTGTAATTTTAATGTTGATTAATGTCAATTAAGCAATAAATAGTTCAATTCTCGTATGTAACATTTACTTATTATATTTCGAGATCAAACAGCGCGCGCGGCAAATTTTTTTACATAAAATATTCTGGTTTTTTAATAAAATTTTCTCATTTTGTGATGCTTAATATCTTTAATTTTTTTACAATAGATTAAATGTTGTATTTCATTGCAAACTGCATTTTTTTTTAATCTACTGAGGGATAATTTATAATAAAAAATTAACAATATTATTACATGAATTATATGATTTATGTAACTTTTTCTTTTTTTTTAGTTTATATATCACTTTTTTATGGGTTTACAGGAGATACATGTAAATTTGGCGCCATTTTTTATCTTTTTTTTAAAAAGATATTTATCACACTGCAAATTAGTGTTATTTATATTATTTTCTAGAATATAATTATATTAAAAAGCTGATGAATGAAAAGTTTGCAATGAAATTTCGCATTTGTGATAATTTCTATTATGATTAACATGATGTTTTCACATATAAATTTATACGATATTCACAGACAGGACGCATACATACGCATATGTGAACTATGACGAGGACAACTCAGAATCAGGTTCATTTCTCTCTATTACACTGAGTCAACAGTTTAATTATAGAAATTTGTATAATGCCCGATTGCACCAATGTTCCTTTAACTTTAAGCGAGGCTTTAAACGCTTCCTGTCTCGCTTTAAAGCAAAAGAGAGACAGAGACACAGAGAATTTTAAACCTTGTTTAAAGTTAAAGTAACATTGATGCAACTGGGCCTAAGAAACACAAATTATATTAGGTGTTGGAATTAATTCGTAGCGTTTTTTAATGAAAGAATGTTATTTATTTCACATGAGCATTAAAAAATACATTAATGAAAGTACTTCCCATCACTTGTAAAACGCTACGAATTAATTCCAACACCTAATATTTCTATCAAAGTTGAGAGGTAATTCATTATCTGTAAT